GGGCGGTGTGGGTGGGTCGCACAGGATCAACAGGGTGGGCCGGGGAGAGCAGTTATGGCTGCTCTCAGTTCCGTCCCTAGGGGCTCTGCCTCACAGAGTCCCAGCAATCGCTGCAAACCTCGGAGAGAAAGCTGCCTTCGGGTTCCGACCAAAGCCAGACAGTCCTGCTTCTCCCGTTTGAGTCAGGGTCCCTAGAGACTCGCTGGATCTGGAGCTCAGAGTCTGAAACTCCCTCCCAATTGAAAACAACAACCGCGCTCTCAGCCACCAGCCCGCTGTGCGCACTCCGCACCTTAGTATTTCACTTCAGCACTGCGCCTCCTCTGAGTCTGGGTATGATATTCTCTTTCCTCCTAGTTGTAGAATTTCCACTTAGCCATCCTTCCTGTGGTTCTGGATGATGTCTGTTCCGTCTTTTAGTTGTATTTTTGATTCACTAGCTCAGTCTTAAACTCACTCAAGTCTTAAAGAGGGGGCAAGGAGGAGAAATGGGAGGTTCTCATCTAGAGAACTGAGGCCGCAACAGCACTCACTTTTACTGGAACCGTGACCCTAAGTGACTCAGCCTCCTTAGTTGGGAGTTGAGGAAGGACAGTATGGATGAGCTGGAGGACTAGAGCATTCCTGGGGAGTCACCTCATCGCACAGTTCACTGTGGGAGTTCAAATGTGTTCTTGGCAAGAAAAACTAGACACATTTTATAAATAGTACAGGCATTGTCTTCCACTGTGCACATTTCCTCAGGCATGTGTGTGCACAGCGATAGACTTGCTGATATGTGTCGTGTGGTTCTGTGCACACAGCCACGCGCATTCTCCTTACTGCCAATGAAAGGGTTGCTCGGGGTTTTGTTACTAATCATCCTCACCTAACACACTGATTTGGAACCTTGTGGAAGCTGTTGGTCTGTACATATAGGCCATCCTGGTCTTTCAAGGGTCTGAAACCTCTATCTTTTGGAAATCTGACATCTTAAATTCTTTCAAATTTCCTTAAATTGTACATTTGTGATCAGCAGAGCCAGTGAGGGTCACTCCCACACCTCCCTTTCTCCCACCAGGCTCTGATCCTGAAGGAGCTGTCGGTGATCCGAGACCATGCGGGCAGCGCCTGCCTCCGGGAGCTGGACAAGAGCAACAGTCCCCTCACCATGGCTCTGTGCGGCTCCAAAGGTGAGTGCTCTGGCCGCCGCCATCATTGTGTTGTCCATATGGACTGGCTGGTTCTGTTCTGGAAAATGTAGGAATCATAACTTCAAACAGACCTTTTGCTTATAAAGGCATATCTTTTTAAATCAGGTTCACTCATATGTTGTTTTTCAAAACAAAAAAAATCAACTGTATTTTCGATCCACAGTAGGGAGTCCACATGTGTGAGGGCTGACTTCAGGTACATGTGGATTTTTGACTGCAGGCAGCTGATGCCCCTCACCCTCACGTTGTTCAGGGATCAGCTGTATATAGAAAAAGAACTATTTGCATTTTGGGGAGTTTAATATTCTAGAGGAACTTCTTGGTAATGTGTGTGGGTTTCTGAGTTTGAGGATGTTTTGAGCAACATTAAAACAACTTTTAAAAAATAATATATAGTATTTAGTGATGAAACAAAATGCTTTTAATTTCACACCTACCCAGGACCTTAAAACATTGGATTTCATGATACTGTGCTCAAATTCAAAACCTCCATGCTTCCCCTATTTCTGAAAATGTTTTACAGATAAAGTTCAAAGTCTTTAACTTTGCTGCCTTTTACCCCAATATTCTACTTTTTGCTTCTTGCACTTGCCCCACCCTTTCCCATCCCTGTCTCTTTGCTTCCCACTCCCCCTCCCACTTTGGAATTCCTCCCCGACCCACTTTGGAATTCCTCCCCCACCCATTTTATGTCTGAGTCGCCATGTCCTCCAGAGTCTAACCTGGCTGCTTTTGAAGAGGCACCTGAAGTCTTGCCTCCAACCCTGATGTGCCCGCTGCTCCCGAGCACCTCTAGCCCTCACCGGGCCTCCCCTGTTCCTGAGCTCCCCCCTAGGCTGTGCCCTGTTCCTGAGCTCCCCCCTAGGCTGTGACCTTACTGCTGGGAAGGGGCTGGGCTGCACTGATTCCTGTTTTATTCCAAGGATCTGCTCGCACTTCAGTTAGTGTTATTTCAGTAATGACATTACATTCCTGACCTGCTTCCCCAGGTTCCTTCATTAACATATCACAGATGATTGCCTGTGTGGGACAGCAAGCCATCAGTGGCTCCCGGGTGCCAGATGGCTTTGAAAACAGGTCCTTGCCTCACTTTGAAAAACACTCAAAGGTAAGCAGTGGAGGGTCAGGCAGAACTTTAAGGACAACCATCTGTAGTGCAGAAGAGAGTAACTGAGGCTCTGCAGCTGCCAACCAACATACAAGTGGCATACAAGGGCGGGCCCTGCTCAGGGTCGTTATTGCCTTTTCAACCCAACCAACTCGCATAGAAGGAGCCTTGTTAACTCAGAGCTGTAACACATGGACAATGCCCCTTTGAAGTTTCTCTCCGAGGAGGAGGCTTTCAGGTTCCCATCTAGCTTAAGTACTCAAAATGAATATATATATATATGCTCAATCTGTTTGCTTATTTTGGGGAGATTTACATAAAAGTATAAGGATTTTTAAATAGTATAAACCACACTAAAACTGACCAAGAAATTTCAGGTTCTCCCTCTGAAATTCTCAAACTCAGCTCTTAAATGTCTTCTGAATTCTATTAGCCTGTGGTTTGGGCGCTAATGTAAGCAAAGAGAGGCAAACCTGTGCTGAGGTTCTGGGATTCAGGGGCAGCAGCTGTTAAACCTGTAGTTCCAAAACTTAAAGTAGACTTGGTCCCTCGGTAAATTCTGGTGTGGAGCCCAACAGCTCCTGCTGCTTGGAACTGCAGTATTTCTGTTCAGCCCTCCCAGGCAGACAGCACTGCTGTCCTGAGATGTATGGAGTCTCTGCACCAGGTAGCACCAGGAACAATGCAGGTCCTCTGCCCCAGGTCAGAATTCACCAGAGGTCAGGCAGATAAGTGATCGCTGCCTGTGTGTGTCAGGCTCAGAGTTGTAGGGCAGCTGGCTGATTGGGAGGAGAGGCCAGGGCATCCAGACTTCTCGGCCCCTCGGCCAGTGCTAGATTAGACTTCGGGAAGTCTGCTTGCCTAGAAATGTCTCTGAGTCCACCAGCTGTCCCTTAAACACCATAAGGAAGCGGGAGGTTGGTCTGTTCATCTCAGTTGTCCTCTAAGGAGCATAGACCTATCCAAACCAAACGCTATTTGGCCATTTCACATGGCGTTTTACACGTGTGTATTTTTAAGTGTCACTGAAATATATTGTGTGTCATAATCACCCATTCAAAGTGTACAGCTCAGTGACTTAGTAAGTATATTCATGTAATTGTGTGATCATCCCCATCTAATTTTAGGACATTTTCAGCACCCCAAGTGAACCCCATAAACATCAGCAGCCCATGGTTATGTTCTGGAGGTTGACAGGCCTGGCCCAGGAAGGTGTCTTTAAGGGAGTCATCATTTCCCAGGGAACGGGCCGGCTGCTGCAGTCAGAGAGTGCCCTCCGAGGTCCTTGGCTGCCCGCCTGCTCCATGGATGGCAGCCCGGGCTTTGGTTTCCTCTCTTGAGCCACTTGCCTGCCACTGGCACCAGCACCGGCCCTGGCTGGGACCTCACCCTCCTTGTCTCTGGGAAGGATGGGTGGTGCCAAATTATTTCTCATTTAGGGAAGGGTATGCAAAGCCCACCACTTCAGGAGAGTGCAGTGGCCAGGGATTTCTAGCTGGAAGGTGTAGCATTTTCTGATGTGAATGGGGTTTGGAATGGACCCTGAACTTTTTTTTGTTTGATTTTTCTTTTCTTTTTTCTACCTCTCTTTAGCTCCCAGCTGCCAAAGGCTTTGTGGCTAATAGCTTTTATTCTGGTTTGACACCAACTGAGTTTTTCTTCCACACAATGGCTGGCCGGGAAGGTCTAGTCGACACGGCCGTAAAGACAGCTGAAACGGGATACATGCAGGTAATTGAAGAAATGTAGGCCATTAACAACAGAGTAGGACAGAGCTCTGTGGACTCTGACTGCTGAGTGTTTACATATTTTGTACACGAGCTAAAATATACCCAGTCTTGGTAATAAAAAGGGAAAATTAAGAAATGTAGAAGAAATTAAACAACAAAAAAGGGTAATGTTAATGTTCCAAATCCTGTGCACCTCGAGTATCAAGACCAGGCCAGAGCCACACTTTCCAAGGCTCTCTGGAGGAGAATGTGCATCCTGGGACATAAGGCTGGAACCTCACTGAGCCTGTTTCCTAATGCACACAAATGGGCGTGGCAGGGCATCCCTCCTGTCTGTTGAGAGGACTCTGCTTCACTTCGCAGCTATTTAAGTAACATTACCAGTATCATTCTAATGGGCTCCAGGAATCTATTTTGGCATTTTGGTGCCCGGAGGGGAGCTGGGAGGGAAGGCTCTCCACTGTGTGTACAGTAGGGTAACAGGTCCAGGGGGTTAATTTAAACTAGAAGGTTTCCTGTGCCTGTGCTTCTCAGACTTCCCTCTGCCCCTGCTGCAGAGGAGTGGAAACACAGTCCTGCCTTGTTCTTCCATAGACTGAAGAAAGAAGAAAAAATCCTTAGCAAGGGATTTTGTTTTGTTTGGTTTTTTCCGGTCTAATTTTCATTTCTTCTCTGTACTCCATAATATATGTTTGTTTGTTTGTTTAATTTTAATGCTTTTACCTACTTACAACACCAAGTTGCTGGACCATGAACTCTAGCTTTGTGTCCTCTGTCTCCCCACTGGATGCCAGTCTGAGAAGCATGGCCCTTTACAGACTGGGAACCAGGGCTGCTAATCCAGAGATGTGAACGAGTGGGCCAAACAGGGCCGCTGAGGGTGAAATCGACTCCAGCCAGTAGACACCTACTTCTGTACCCTCTTCCGTGCCTCGTGTGGTGTGTCATTACTGATACTTCCCTTTTAATCATCTTTTGATGGGAAATCGCCCTTCAGTTTTGGAGTGTGCTGCTTTTGTCAAAAGCCCAAGGACTGAAATGCTTTTACCACTCTTGCCAGATGTCTTTTGATTTTATTTTCTCTCTTTACCTTTTGGAGTAGAATATGGATTTCCCAGAGCAGTGTGTTAACCTAGAACAAATTGGTTCTGGCATGAGGGATTTTTGTTTTGAAGTTGCCTGGAGGAAGAGTTCTGTCTCCCTCCTGCACAGAGCCACCGTCACATTGCTGCTGCAGGGAGATCTGCTGGGGGAAGGTGTTCCTCAGGCCGATTTGAGAAATGGCTGCTGCCTGCTGGGTCAGACACAATGCTGGCCCTGTTCTCCTCCCCCTGTCCCAGAAGAGGGTCTGTACCCGATCCTCTGTAATTCATATTGAAGTCCACGGGGGTCCGAGATTAAGTTGTGTTTAGAAATGCAGAGCTGTTGCATTAATTTATACCTTAGGGAGAAAGAGAGAGGAGGCACAGCAGGTTAGGAAAACAGTGTTTGCATAGTCCTTCAGGGTAGATGGGGTTTAAATTGCAGGTATTCTAAAACACACTAAAGTGCTGGAGGTTGGGCATATTCTGAATCCCTCTGGGCAGGTTAGAGAGGCACTCTTGGCTTCATTCTTGGGGTTAGGGGAATCTTTTTAAGGGATTTCTAATAAAATGTTTTTATGTGATTAAAGGGCTAGTAACCTTGAAACTTATAGTTGGAAATCTCATCCTCTGCACATGTGACTAGTCTTTGTTTTCTGTTTTGTTCCCTTTAGAGAAGGCTTGTGAAGTCCCTTGAAGATCTTTGTTCACAGTATGATTTGACAGTCCGAAGCTCTACGGGAGATATTATACAGTTCATTTACGGGGGAGATGGCTTAGATCCTGCAGCTATGGAGGGAAAAGATGAGCCCTTGGAGTTTAAAAGGGTTCTGGACAACATCAAAGTAAGATTTAGTATTATATCTGGGGTTGGAGTATTCTTTAGAATGGAGGTGCCCTTTGGAAAATCACACACAGTTTAATGCTCAATCATGTCTACCCAACTACTGGCTTAGTATTTTCCTTTTGTGTTACTCTGAATAAGTTTTCTAATATTAAAGGAAAATATTTTCTCAATTTCAAAGTCTAGTGTTAGTCATCAAATGCCAACAGAAGAGGGCTTTGTTTTCTATGTAACAGGCCAGTGTTATAAGTCTTGGGTGTGAAAAGCAGTTACATTTCATATAATTTAGAACAGCCTTTTTGGAAGGTAGTTTGACAGTACTGATCTGAATTAAAATGTGGGTGCCTTTTGCCCCCATAGTTCCTCTTAGAGGAACCAGCCCTGCAGAAATGATCTACGAGTGCCAAGAGTGTTTTCCAGCACTGTCTGTGGTAGGGGCAGACCATCAGTGGAGGAGAATTCAGATACATAGTGGTCTGCCTGTGCGTTAGGATGATATGTAGCCCTTAAATCTTTGGGAAAATGCTTTGAGCTTGAGGGTGGAGGAATATTTTCACTCTTAAAATATTTGGGATTTTTTTAAAACAACAATTTGTATTTTTAATGTAAATCGGGGTTGGGTCGAAGTTTGGGAGCAATGTGACAATACCCAGAAGTCTTTGTGTAAGTGGAGTATAAGTTTACTGTTTCCACCTTCATATTAAAGGTAGGATCTAAAACTTGTTTTGAAGGAGAAAAACATCACAAGTTGCTAGAAGATCCCTCTAAGTATCCTGTCTCTTGTAGCTTCTTTCATTTAATATTGCTCCCTTCTCCATTGCGCCCGCCACCTCATACTGTGTCCTTTAACACTTGAGGCAGTCTTCCCGTGTCAGAGCGAGCCTGCGCTCAGTAAAAACGAACTGGTCCTGAGCACCGAGTCGATCATGAAGAAGCACGAGTTCCTCTGCTGCCAGGACAGCTTCCTGCAGGTAAGCGCCGGGTGCTGGTCGCCCCACCTGCTGCACCGGACAGTGGTGGCCAAGGGCCAGCAGGGGAATGTCATGAGCTGGGGGGGTTGTGTAAGAGTGTTTCTTTGTTTAAAAAATTAAAGAATGGCTGAGGCAAAAATCTCTGCAGCCAATGTGAAGAATTTGTCTCATGTCTTTCTTAGTTTGAGGCTTTTACACAAGTGTTTTCCTATTTGAAGGAAAATGCTTTAGCTAGAGAACTGATTGTGTGTAGCCCTACCCGTCAACACCCTGCAGTCCCCTCCTGTGGACCAGCTCTTCCTTGTTCATTCTGAACCCCAATGATTTGTGTTGGTAGTGGGGCTGTCTCAGTATCCTCTTAAATCGCTCTTTCTCCTACTACGGTATGGATCAGGGATCCATGGAGTCTGCCCTCCTTTTTCTTCGGGAGAACTGGTACCTGGGGACACTCTTAAGGGTTTTTTTGTTTGTTTTTGTTTTTTTAATGTCACTGACCCATTTAAGCAGCTCCTTTCTCTTTATGTGGTGATGACCCAAAGCAAAGGGATGCAGGAACCGATCGTTTCCTGTTTGTACTGATTGGTTACTCAAATGCAGCAAAAAATCAGCAGAATGTATCCCTTTCGGTATATCAAAAATAAAAGCCACGCCCAGCTGGTGTGGCTCAGTAGTTGAGCATCACACTGTGAACCAGGAGGTCATGGCTCATTTCCAGGTCAGGGCACATGCCTAGGTTGCGCACTCAATCCCCAGTAGGGGGCGTGCAGGAGGCAGCCAATCAATGATTCTCGTCATTGATGTTTCTATCTCTCTCCTTCTCCCTTCCTCTCTCTGAAATCAGTAAAAATATATTTAAAATATTTTGAAAAGCCACAGAGTGAAAGTGCAAGGATGCTTTCAGTTAAGGAAGCTTCACTTCTTCCTTTCATGTGTTGAGGAGTGAACGATGAAAAAGAATCTTACAGAATTTAATATGTTTAAATCAAGAGTATGACTAGACCTGATGCCTTTGTTTTAATTTTTTTTCTGTAGATTTTTTTTAATTAACAATCTAGAGTTGTGATTTTGTTTTTCTACATCATTATATTTACTTATATATTTCTCTGTTTATCCTTGAAGACCTTAACTGAGACAGGCTATGAGAAGTATAACGAGGTAACGCACTTGGCATGCTGCGACTGCTGAGCATAAAGGGGTGAAGCCGAGCAGCACTCGGCTGCTTGCCAGCACTGGAGATGACAGCCCTTCATCCTGGGGCTGGCAAGCAGGCCTCCCTGTGCGTCACTTTGGACGGCCCCTTGCTTGTCTTTGACAAGGGTTAATGGGTGACCTCTGACCTCGGTGTTTATTCAGTCAGTGAGCAGCACTGTGTCACACACTGCAGGTCTGGGGAACACAAAAATGACTAAACATGTCTTTGCCCTTCAGTGGCTCACAATCTGGTGAACTCAGTTTTGCCAAGAGGGTTCAAAATCCACTGGCCAGACAGATTTGTCTGCGCCTCTGAGATGTGTCCTGGCCCTTGCCTTGCCAGAGCTGAGGCAGCGGAGGCGGCTCCTGAGTGGCATTGAGCCCTGGCCCTGCCAGAGGCTGGTGCCCCTGCTCACAGACTACTGTGGCGTGAGTGTGAGAACTTAACTGCTGGTTAATCGTGTGATTAATCGCCTGTCATTTGCCCTGTTGTGAGTTCCCTGTAGTATGCATGGGTTGATTCAGCTGAATTCTTAGTAGCTTATTTCAGTTTTCATTTCTGCAAAATGATTTTTTTTAACCTCCAGAATGTCTAACTTTATGTAAGAAAAGTCATTTCAGCAAAGCCGCTGGAAGCGGGTCCCAGTGGGTGGCCGCTAAAGGTTCGTTTGCAGTGCCTGAGCTGGGGAGTGGTTTTAGGTGTGTCCTCTACTGTGTGTGCTGAGTTCCTCCAGATGACAGTGCCCGGTCTTCCCAGGGACAGGCTCTCTTTCCAGTTTCCCTGCACCGACAGGTGGGGCACTCTTAACACCTGGCGACAAATGGCAGCATCTGAGCCAAGAGGGCTCTCAGGAGCTTGCCCTAAAGAGGTGGTCGGCAAACTCATTAGTCAACAGAGCCAAGTATCAACAGTACAACGATTGAAATTTCTTTTGAGAGCCAAATTTTTTAAACTTAAACTATATAGGTAGGTACATTGTTATTAACTTAATTAGGGTACTCCTAAGGCTTAGGAAGAGCCACAAGTCAAGGGGCCAAAGGGCCGCATGTGGCTCATGAGCTGCGGTTTACCGACCAGGGCGCCTAAAGGATATGGCAGCGGCTAGACAAGAAGGTGGGGAGGAATCAGCAATGTGGAAGAGGCTCTTTCCACAGATAGCACAGAGGAAAAGTGCAGCGGCACAGGGCGTGCTGCCTTTGAATACTCCCTGTTGGGCAGAGTCACACCAGGGGAGAGGGCTCTGCTGCGTGGTGGGTGCTGTCAGCTCATTTGGGAAGTGCTCTGAGTCAGTCCAATCAAGTGACGGGAGCAGCACTCTGAAGGAGGCAGTTCGTTACAGTGCAGCACGCCCCTCCGCAAGCACTTGCGAGAGGAGGTGCCGGCTGGTCCTGGTTCCGGGAGTGACCATGAAGCTGGGTTTATTTCACAGACACACCGTCAGCTGTAAAACAGATGGGCTTTTTCCCCTTTGAGGGTTGCTAGAAAACTGCTGCAGGTCGGTAGTCTCCAGTGCTGCCCTCATGATGTACTTCTCACCTTCCTTGCTCCATTTTGTCAGCATCCTTTTTTTGTTTTTTATCCTTTGAGAGTACTGTTCTCAAATAAAGCAGAAGATAACAAGTTACACTAGCAATCTAATTACCCTGCTTAAAAAAACACAACAAAAAATAAACCCATATCAGTTCTAGCTGAGAGCGGTTTCCAGGAACCCTTCCAAATTTCTGATTGTGTGGGAAGGGAGCGGGAGACTGAGGGGGTGAGGCCGAGGTGAGAGTAAGAGGAGGTGAAGCTGAGTGTGGGGGTGCTTCCTTTGAAATGTACATAATGTCTGCAAAGCTGTGCTTTAGCTTGTTAGTTTTTAAATGGGTCATAAGGACTTCAGGAGAAAATCTAAAGTCAATCAGTCTAGAGACTGAGTCTAACAGTGCACTTCTGCCTGCTCTGAGCTGTGTAAATGGAGGCAGTGTGTATGCCAGGAGAGCAAAGGGAGAGTGGAAGGTGAGAAGGCTTTCCTAGTGTAAGGGCGACATGGCAGGGCCAGGAAAGTGGCCGGTGTGGCCTTTGCTGAAGCATCATTGGAGAAAAAAGGCCCTAGAAATATCTGAACCAGTGAGCCCTGTGTCCAGGGTGTGGATGATTGGGTGTATCCCTTGGGGAAACATTTTGTAGTAGGGGGTACAACACGGATATACCCCTTAAAGTATACATTTAGCTGTTACTATTTTAGTGATATGATGGGCTTGCATAGTACTGAAGTTCATAAAACACATCATATCATCTGAATTACTGATATTTGCTGTGTAATCAGGAAATAAAGAACTTCATTAAGGGGGTTTCTGAGAAGATCAAGAAAACCAGAGATAAATACGGCATCAACGATAACGGCACAACAGAGGTAAGTGGCCTTTCCCGGGTGGAAGGGCGGACACTCTGGTATTTTCAGGTACCAGCCCTAACTCTGCACTTGGTTTTGTTCTTCCAGCCCCGGGTGCTGTACCAGTTGGACCGGATCACCCCCACCCAAATAGAAAAGTTTCTGGAGACCTGTAGGGACAAGTACATGAGGTAGGGATGCTCACCGTCTTAGACTACTGGGTAGTCACAAGGGTCTCAGATCCTTCCTATTGGCCCACAGAAACAGATTCTGCACCAGCACCACTTAATGATAGTCTGTGCAGACGGATGCTCCAAGATGTGGAATTGCAAGGAAATTTCCAAGTGTTTTTTCCCCACAGAGAAACTACCAATATGTATTTGGCAGGTGCCAACCTTCTCTCTCTACCTTCAGATCCATTTGTTAGCAGGCTGTCATATCTTCTTCAGGCAATAGACATTGGGGCCCAGTCATTGCCCGTTGACGTTGACCACAAGTAGCCACACAGTTTCAATATCTGGCCCTTCTGGGCATCGTGTCTCTTGTACACACGTATTACTGATCTATGCCAGGTTCTTCCTCTGCCACCAGCACAGCTAAGCTCATTGCCAATTCCTTCCTGACCCTGAGGCATTTTTTCTGCTGAAAAGAAGTAAACAGAAGATTCTCCCTGGCAGTTTTACTGGACTTTCCATCCACATCTTCCTTCTAGGGCACAGATGGAGCCCGGTTCTGCGGTAGGCGCACTCTGTGCCCAGAGCATCGGCGAGCCGGGCACCCAGATGACCCTGAAGACGTTCCACTTTGCAGGCGTGGCCTCCATGAACATCACCCTGGGTGTGCCCCGCATTAAAGAGATCATCAACGCCTCCAAAGCCATCAGGTGCCTGCCTCCGTTTCTCTTCTGTCCCCATACTGCCTGCCTCATTTTTTCAGAAGCAGTGATCTCTTGTCATATGTGCTATCTAAATGGGCAGTATCTCAAATTCAGTGGCATGCCTGTGTTAATCATACTTTAGTTTTTAAAAAACCCGTTGGAAAAAAATTAGTTGAAACTAGATACAGTCAAAATTGAAAAGTGGTTCTTTATGGCCATTGGTCACATGAAAGAGAGAAACCTAAAAAACTACTGGAAAAATGACAACAATGTGTCCGTGTAGATGTCACACTTTCTTGTTTTTGTTAACCCTCACCCAAGGATCTTTTTCCCCCTTTTTTTTAGAAAGGGGGAAGGGGAAAGGGATGGGGAGAGAGAGAAACATTGATATGAGACACATCGATTGGTTGCCTCCTGTACATGCTCTGGCTAAGGCCAGGGATTGAACTTGCAACCCAGGTACATGCTCTTGGTCAGGAATCAAATCAGAGATCCTTCCGTGCACAAGTCAGCGCGCTAACCATTGCGCAGCCCAACCAGAGCTAGGTTTCACTTTTCTTTTTAAATATGTTTTTACTGATTTTAGAAGGAAGAGAAAGACAGAAACATCAATGATGAGAGAAAATCGTTGATTGGCTGCCTCTTGGCACACGCTGCTGGGTATTGAGGCCACAACCTGGGCATGTGCCCTGATCAGGAATCGAACTGGCAGTCTCCTGGTGCATTGGTTGCCGCTCAACCACTGAGCCACACAGCCGGGCAGGTTTCAAATTTTTGATGTTATATCCCCAGCCTAACCAGACCTGACTGATGTGTCTACCATTTGGGCTGTGACTCCCACGTGATTTCATGATAGGATTTGTAGATGGTCTGAGACTAGAAATATAGAAATATGTTACATTTGATGACAGAATGATGATTCCTCTGTGATCTGAATAAAAACAGCATTAAATGAAGGAAAGCTGCACTTGGCTGTAGAATGGCAACTATAGATGTCCACGGTGGCAGGGGCTCTGAGCACCTGCCTTCTCCGGGTGGGTCAGTCTCGTCCAGGAGTGTGTGTTCAGGGGACACTGCCAGGACAGTAGGTGTTGGAGGAGCTGGAGGTGTCCTGGAGAGCAGGTTATGGGATAGGGGAAAGGGATGGTGGAAGCTATAATACACAAAGAGCCAATTTACTCAGGGAACAGAACTAAATTACTAGTAACTACTTATTAGGACCAAAGAGGAAGAGGAAGTGTACTTGGTCAGAAAGAATTTCCTGAAAGGCATTTCATTCACTGGTAGAGTGGTTTGCCTCATGGGCGCCAAAAATAGTAAATGTAAATGAGAATGTCTGGCCCTAGCTGGTTTGGCTCAGTGGATAGAGTGTCGGCCGGTGGACTGAAGGGTCCCGGGTTTGATTCTGGTCAAGGTCACATGACCAGGTTGTCGGCTCAGTCCCCAGTAGGGGGTGTGCAAGAGGCAGCCAGTCAGTGATTTTCTTTCATCATTGATGTTTCTATTTCTCTCCCTCTCCCTTCCTCTCTGAAATCAATAAAAATATATTTTAAAAAAATAAAGGAGAATGTCTGAGGAAGCAGCGTGACACAGCACATGCTCAATAAATTGCAGTTGCTTCTCTGTGCGGATTTAACAAAGCAGCCATCTTCAAGCAGGCGTACTTCTCGTGCTGACGTTGTTTTTGCTTTACGTTTCACAGCACTCCAATCATCACGGCTCAGCTAGACAAGGATGAGGATGCAGATTACGCTCGCCTCGTGAAAGGGAGAATTGAGAAAACTCTCTTGGGAGAGGTAAGGAGAAATCCCTCTTAATAATGAGAACACTAGACCAGTAGTATTGCAAGGAAATATAAAAACCAGGTGCAGTGGGTATGCCAGTTGGTGTGGCCACACTATTCTATGTCCTTCAAAGAAGAGAGAGAGCAGGCCCTGGCCAGGTACTCAGTTGGTTAGAGCATCATCCAGATACACCAAGGTTACAGGTTCCATCCCTGGTCAGGACACGTGCAAGAAGCAACCAGTGAATGCATAAACAAGTGGAACAACAAAATCGAAGTTTCTCTCTCCCCTCCCTTTCCTATCCCTCTAAAATCAACTTAAAAAAAAAAAAAGAGTAAGGAGGCCCTGGCCAGGTAACTCAATTGATTAGAGCAGCATCCAATAACGCCAAGGTGGCGAATTCAATCCCTGATAAGGACACATACAAGAAACAGCCAGTGCTCCAGCCTGTGTGGATCAGTGATAGAGTGTCAACCCAGGAACCAAGAGATGAAGGTTCTATTCCCAGTCAGGGCACATGCCTGGGTTGTGGGCTCAATCCCCAGAAGGGGACGTGCAGGAGGCAGCCAATGGATGATGTTTCTCTCTCATCCATGTTTCTATCTCCCTCTCCTTTCCTCTCTCTCTCAAAAAATCAATAAAAACATATTTTTTAATAAAGAAACAAGCAGTGAATGCTCTTAGAAGAGATGAAGGTTCTATTCCCAGTCAAGGCACATGCCTGGGTTGTGGGCTCAATCCCCAGAAGGGGACGTGCAGGAGGCAGCCAATGGATGATGTTTCTCTCTCATCCATGTTTCTATCTCCCTCTCCTTTCCTCTCTCTCTCAAAAAATCAATAAAAACATATTTTTTAATAAAGAAACAAGCAGTGAATGCTCTTAGAAAAAGGGAAGGTGACTGATTAACGTACCGGTCTTTCTGACACTACAGATTTCAGAGTATATCGAAGAAGTGTTCCTTCCTGACGACTGCTTTATCCTCGTCAAGCTCTCCCTGGAACGGATTAGACTTCTGAGGCTGGAAGTGAGTCACTAACTAAATGTGTAGAGGCAGTCGCCCTCTGTCAGTCCCAGGCTGGTGCTGGTGAGCAGGGCCAGGCACGGGACGCGCTGCAGAGACTTGCCTTTGGTGCTTGTGTGAGTCTGTTGCACCTTCACAGTCTCTTTCTAAACTTGACCTGACACAGGAAATTACTTGAAATTTTGTGCAGGCCACCGTACCCATTCACGGTGACAAAGTATTGGAAGAATTCGTCTCCTTTTCCGCCTTCCCCGTGTCTAGAAGGGCCACAGGGCTGTCTGTGTCTTGCACATCTGTGGCCCCAGCACCAGCACTGCACCTGGCTAGCTCAGTGAATGTTTTTGGGTGGGCGGGTTAACCTTGCTTACCATATTGGCATTTATGGTTGAAAGATTATCAGCCTTTCTCAGGGACAGACTGAGGACAGACTGGGGTGCAAACTGAGTAACTTCTTGGCACCTTCCTCCCTCTCGAGGTAGTTAAAATCTATGCTAGTCTTCACACATTTTGTGTCCCTTGTCTCAAGTACCAAGTCCATGTGCTTGTTCATGGGAACGATGACCCAAATTGAGCAGCCAGTTCTCCAGGTCGGGGTTTCTCTAGGCTGGCTCTGGCCACCTGCCTCTGTCCTTTTAGCACAAGAGCGGGGCCGCATCCGGGAGTGTACATACGAGTAGTTGTGAGGTCGGTACAGGGGAAGTGGCACTGATGCTTTTAAATTGTCCTGGCCACCAACCTCGCACTCCCAGACACCCCTGGAGCCTGGGCACACTGCCATGAATTGAGCATGCATTTCCAGTGGGGGTGTCTAGAGACTATAAAAAGAAACGATTTTATAAATAAAGCACAAATATACATACATTACGTAAACAAATATAGTGTATCTCTAGTATTAGAATTTCATGGTGGGGAGAGAGATTAGGGGGAAAAATGCCTGAAAAGACTTCTTAGAGGGGCAGCGATGACAAAAGGCTGAGAAATACTGGAATCAAAGGCTGCAATCCGTCAGTAATGCCCTGGGCATGCGGCCGCCCCTGGCCCCTGCAGGTGAATGCGGAGACGGTGCGGTACTCCATCTGCATGTCCAAGCTCCGAGTGAAGCCGGGTGACGTGGCTGTTCACGGTGAGGCCGTGGTGTGTGTCACCCCCCGCGAGAACAGCAAGAGCTCCATGTACTATGTGCTGCAGTTCCTGAAGGAGGACCTCCCCAAGGTGAGGCGACAGTTGCCCTCAGGCCCCCCCAGCCAAGTGCCGGGAGGTTTGTAAAGGGATGCATTTACCTCCACCATCCGTATCTAGGCCCCAGAGCACCCTAAGTCCTGTCACTCCTGAGACTGAGGGGGCGCCCATTCCTCCTTCAGTGCCACACTCCTAAGGAATCAGTTGGTGTTTTCTCCTCAGTACTGTCACGCCAGCTCTGTCTGTTAGACTCCTCTGTTCTCTCCTAAAACGGACCATGGGAAAGGACACGGTTCCCTGAACTGCAGCCTGCTCCCTAGACCTCAGAACAGTGGGCAGGACTTTTAGGCGTGGACGTCACTGACACTCCCCACTGAGAACGGGGTGCTCCCGGGAACACACCAGGGCCCGACATCCACATCCTCTGCGGCTGTGGTTTCTGAGGCTGCCCGGGTGGTGGGGGCCATGAGCACTGCAGGGCCTCAAACGTCTGTGTCTCTGGGTCCAGGTGGTGGTGCAGGGCATCCCAGAGGTGTCCAGAGCCGTCATCCACATCGATGAGCAGAGTGGGAAAGAGAAGTACAAGCTCCTGGTGGAGGGCGATAACCTGCGGGCGGTCATGGCCACTCACGGTGTGAAGGGCACCCGCACCACCTCCAATAACACCTACGAGGTACTGCTCACAACGGGTCCCCGCACACGCGCCCTGTCTCCCTCAGCTGGTTCCTGGCGCTCCTGGGACAGCTGTTTGCTCTGGGTTTACCACTCAAGAGCTGATTCTGGAAAAGGTGCCGGGCTTGTCATGAACCTTCAGGGCAGAGTGGGGCGAAGAGAGGGGGATGTGGCACTCGGAAGTGGCTGCTTCGCTCACCCTGGCTCTCTGTAGGTGGAGAAAACTCTGGGCATTGAAGCTGCCCGGACAACGATCATCAATGAGATCCAGTACACGATGGTCAACCACGGCATGAGCATCGACCGGAGGCACGTGATGCTGCTCTCCGACCTTATGACCTACAAGGTGCGTGGGGGCCCAGTCTCAGGAGAATGAAGCCGGCCCGCTTATAAGACGTGGAGTACTTGCTGTGGTGGCCACTGCGAGAAAATAAGACGTCACCATCCCCCCAAAACCAAGGCCTGGCGGGCAGGCTGGGTGTTCTGGTAAAACTCCAGCACAGACATTACAACCTCCTGGTATGAGGGGAGAATGGTTTTGTTCTTAGTAGAAATCGTATCCTAAAGCAAAGCCAGCTATTGCCAAAGGCCGGATGTCCTGGCAAACCGAGGTGTTTATTCCCTATTAAACCCATTTATCACACTTCTGTAGCCATTTCCAGGAAAAGACTAAGTTAACATGATCGTGCAGGACTGAGGTTGGATGGTTGTTATGTATTTTTTCTCTTCCCAAGAAATGCCGCCTCTAGCAGTGCTAGAGGACAGCAGGTTTTTATGGCGCTTCCCATTCAGACCTGTGCTGCACTCGGACGGTCCAGGCACTCGGTGGGAGGAATGGCCTCTCCCACCTGGAGTACAGGCTGTGCTCTAAAGTCCCCCTTGCAGTCTACTCTGGAGGCACATGTTATGTTTCTGCAGTTGCAGTAAACAGCGGGCCTGCCGTTTTTATGCTGCCTTTTAAATTTAACGTTCTATTTCCCTTGTTGTTACATAGTCTTTAAGTATACTTTTAATGGTGGCAAGAATATTTCTTGGAGTGAAAACACGTAAATGTACTTAACTCTATCCCTGCTTTGTGGTTTTTAAGTTGAGTTTTAAGTCTTCGAGACGTAATGAACATCTTCAGGAAGTGCTCTCTTTTCTCTAGATTCTTACTTCTTTGTTCCACAGCCCTGCTGGTGAGTGTGAGGATCCGTGTTGCCAGTGGCTGGCAGCCTCACTGAGGCGGGTGGGACAGTAGCTGTTAGGGTCCTGCGCACACCTGAGGGTGTGACTTGAACAACTCCTGTATTGGGCTGATTTTTGCTTGTTTTGTGGAGGTGCCGTGGATGCGGTTTGGTTTGAGCTTTATTAGTGGCCGGGCTGCTAGTCTGACAGGCGTCTCCCTTGGCAGGGTGAGGTCCTGGGCATCACCAGGTTTGGCCTGGCCAAGATGAAGGAGAGTGTGCTGATGCTGGCCTCCTTCGAGAAGACGGCGGACCACCTCTTCGACGCCGCCTACTTCGGGCAGAAGGACTCCGTGTGCGGTAGGTTTGCCAAGAGCATCGCCAGAGGCTCGGGTGTTTGCAGCTTAGACCCTGGCTGGGGCTTTCTGGGAGTGAACACACTGAGCAGGCAGAGCTTCTGGGTTTTTGTTTGTTTGTTTGTTTGTTTGTTTGCTTAATTTTTATTGATTTCGGAGAGGAAGGGAGAGGGAGAGAGACATAGAAACATCAATGATGAGAGAGAATCATTGATCAGCTGCCTCCTGCACGGACTGAGCCTGCAACCCCGGCATGTGCCCCTGACCAGAATCGAACCCGGGACTCCAACACTCTATCCACTGAGCCAAACCAGCTTGGGCAGAGCTTCTGTTTTTTAAGAGTAAAGTCACAGGTCATGGGGCTGGAACCAGTCGATCTTTTATCTCCCAAGCTTGACTGGAGCACCCCACGACCCCCCACATCTGTTAGGAGGCTGCTCTGTCAGGACAGTCAGTTTTTGGTCCAAGAAGAAAAGACTGAGCCTGCACGTGCAGGAACCTTTCCAGCCCCTGAAGTCTCCACGCTGCTCCTGCACCCTCTGTGATGCAAGGCTGGCAGGAGGGGCAGTGCCCAGGCTCCCTGTTGTCCTGACTCCCCGGCAGAGGTATCCAGCCTGCCTTTTACATTTGTGGAGCCCCTGTGCTGGGCACCTTAAATGCCTGCATCTCAGCACCTCTGTGAGTGTAGGTATCAAACCTGTTTGCAAGTAAGAAGACCGAAGAAACGAACTTACCTGCCATCCTGGCCGACTGCGGAGTCTTGCCCTGCACTGGCCTTATCCCCCGATCACAGAGGGCATCTCCGCCGGAAGCCTGGGAGAGGAAGGAAGGGGCACTGTCACAAAGTCCCTGCTGCCCACATGGCTCTTCCTGGTCCTTTACAAAGTACCTGCTTTACTCTAGCCTTTCTCATGCCGAGATCCTGCAGGCCCGAGATGGGAACTTATGAGGGGCTGGGGTGCAGGAGACTCAGGAGCCTCCCCAAGCCACAGGGATTCCAGGCCTGGCTGCCTCCCCGCCTCCAGAGCTCTGCTTCCTGGTGGCCATTCCCAACACCTCCTGCTCTTGAGTGGATTTGCCACACAGGTGATGGGCAGGTGGAGCCCCAGTCGGTGTACGCCTAAG